CACGATGTGTCACCCCGGAGACTGGAATTCTTTTCTACAAGTGCACTCGTGACCCATGTTTATTTCTTTAGACTGTGTGGAATGCAATACATTATGGTGAAGATTTCAGCATAAAAATTTACGTTACCACAGAAACCGACATTAAGCAAATTTAAGAGAAAAAAATACTTTCAGACATAGTGGATATTGAAGTTTAAGATTGAAGCTATGTTACGTTGTACCAATTATAACAAAAATTCGTTCACCGCAATTATACCTTCACATCTCCCAAAATAGATCTTTGCTATTGTTATATGGCATGTTTAGAATGTTATAACCTAATCGTATTCAACCGTGTAAAAAATTAATAATAGCTCGGATGACCAATGTTGATAGTTGCTGGTTGAGCTTACGAGGCAAAACTTACGCAAGAGAGACTTTACCTGCACATGGTGCATGCACACCATAGGTTACTTCCAGTAAATGTATTCTTTTAGAGTAAGAAGAGCTAGCAGAATTCAGCCTTTAAAGCGGTCAAGTTAAATACAAGATTCACGCTTAATCTAATTTCTAGGTTTCACAGGTTTTACCATCTATCTGAAACAGTGTTGTTAGGATAACTTTCTAAAGTGATTTTAAGGGATCTTATGGATATTGTGCTACTTGCATTGATCTAAACAGCTGTCAGTGGAAGGGGAGCACATAAGAGATGAGATATACATTGAAAAGCTTAACGCTTCAAAAATCTTTAATGATTATGAGCTCTGCCTCGTAATGAATGCTCATTAAGCATTGACAAAGTCGAGTAGAATCTGCCGTATACACATTGCAATTACAGGCCACATATTTCATCCACAATGTGATGTTATGACTGGTTCCTCGGCGAAAAATAACTTTCTCCAAAAGAGAATTTTGTATTCCTCAGTTCGAGTACTCGATTGCAACATATGCACAGTAAGCTTCTCATACAAGCCTGATTGAATGGAAGGGGGCTACTTCTGGAATTGACAAACTGTTAATAGTGCGTTGAGATTTATTTATGAGAGGCGTATGCTGAAAACTTACGTGTGGCGCGTTTATTATGTATTCTGACTCATCGAGTAGGGCCAGAACAAACACCGCCCAGACAAAAACAAGCCGCAGAAGCCCACAGCAGCGCGATGATTAAGAAAATTTGGGCATAATTTAAGGCAAAAGACTTACATGTGGATTAGTCCGTGATGAAGCACGCATCCGGGTAGGCGCTGCTGCCGGAACCACACATCTGGAATCTTCTGGATCCACACCGTCAATCCACGGATGGTCGCCTTCATTCATATGTAGTACGATGTACGAGCTAAAAAGATTGAGTATGTTTAGATTGAAGGCGTGAGGAACTGACGAATAGCGAGTTGAGTAGCATCAAGGCAATCAGTGATTTGATTTGGAATTAAAACGGTGCGAAATTGGATGCGTTTCGTTCTAATGCAATTCTATAACGATGGTCAGCAATGTGATAGCGACAGAAATTTGCCATTGGAATTCTGATTAACGTCACAAAGATTGGTCGGAGTCGTTGCTGTTTGCTTAACAGCTGCCGATTCAACCAGTGCACACTTAAACTTGATTTGTAGAATTTTTCTATCTATAAAACCAATCACACTTCTGCAACCGTCGCTCAACCTTACAGTGCATGAAACAATTAAACAAGAGGACTATGGTCAAGGAAGTGGACATTTTCAACAAGAAGCAGTATAGCATGTTTGATAAGTAAATTCTTGGGAAGTCTCACGGTGTCATCTGCTTTTACAAAAAGAGC